CTAAGATGACACCACAAAATAAGATTAATGCACTTATTTACAATGCTTTTGAAAAAGAAAGAAGCACAGGGTTAATGCACCAATTATCAGTGCTTCTAAAGGAGAAGTCACAGTGCGAGAGACTGCTAATAGCATCGACAATAATGTGCATCATCACTCAGTGGAGAAAAACATTGTCCCCGGAAAAATTATTCCAAATTTTTGTAATTCGAAGACTAGAAAAATCTCGGAAAATTTTTCTTTTTTACCAGCTTGTGAGCATATGAGCTTTAACTTTTTTTTACTTTGCTTTTCTACCGAACAAACTGAAACACTGAAGGAAGATGGAGGAGCTGGGCCGAGCAGCCAAAGCGGCGGCGGCAACTTCTATAATCTGTGTGTGTGTGAGTTAAACCTGAACATTGCGCACTCTAGGTTTTTGAGGTGTGTGTACACATTCACCTACTCCAGCTGCACCACTTCAGCACGGTTGCTTGGGTAACAGCAGCGCTTGCTCTATTTACAAAATGTTTAAAAAATGGAATGATTCATTTGATGTGTGTTCTTTAAACTTCACAACCTCTGGATTTTAGGTTTCCGTTTGCTACCAGGAAAAAGCGTTACTCAGGAGGAAGAATGTCAAACATTTCTCCTGCAACTTTCTCGAATTTTGCTCTTTTTCCCTGGTAGAGAAGGGGGAAATGGGGGTGATGGGTGCTAGTTGGAAGCGGTAGCCCAAGACCGAAGAACCTCAGGTATAGGTGGGTCCAGCATATGGAAGCATCCCAGTAGCATCACCCATCACCTGTTCGATGTGTGTGTATTTGGTATCCTTGGTGTACGGGAAGCATGAATATAAAATATATATGGTATAGTAACATTTCTAATATGACATAGAAATATATAGTATAGATATAAAATATATATAAAAACATAAAATGTGTGGATATATAATATAGAGAAAAATTTTTTTTCTGCATAGTGCTTTTTGTATCGAAAACGTCAAATCCGCTTGCACTGTTGTTCTGGGTATTCCATGTTAGTGATGTTACTGGGTTGCTTCCATGTGCTGAATATAGCTAATGCCTGATCCTTCGATCCTGTGCTGCATACCTCCAGTTATTATCCATCACCTATTCGATGTAGGTGCGCCATCTCTTCGAAGGCCATAGTCTGGATCTTTTATAATCTACGGTTTTCTTATCCTGGCTTCAAGGAACTGAAGAATTTTCAGTGGCTCTTCGGCACATCATCACCATTCAACGGGTTCGCATACCGTGCAATCGACAGTGATCAAGTTGGCAGCACCAAGCTCACGGCGTGGTATCTCAGCTGAACCGTCCAGCACTCATGACAGCTCATCTACTCAGGGCATGCAAGGTTTCTTTTTTTATTCCTTTTTATTTTTAATTTTTTTGTGTTTGCTTCAAAATTGTAATCAAAAAAAAACACATATCTGAATCTTAATTCTAATTTTTTTTC